AAGCTACAAAGGCAATTATAAGAACAAAAACAAAAACAAAGAAAAAAAGAAACATATTAAAAAGAGAAAACATACACCACACAGTGAAAGAGCAAAGAGAAGGAAACCAGAAAGCATAAAATAATACAGCAAAACCAAGATCAAGCACACCTGTTATATCCAGTCTGCAAATGAGCTAAATCTACCCATGAAAAGAAACCCCGATGGACCAGATCACAAAGCAAAATCCAACCATCCCATTTCATCACTTCTAAGACGCACGTTTTCACATTTTAGCATCTACAACATAGAGATAGGATATATAATGCCATCAGCCAGACTGAGGTCATGACGTAGCTGGGATGGTCCCTCAATGTGCAAACCTGTCCCAGCCCTTCATGCTGTCATCTCTTCGACTCAGCACAGCAGACTGTTGGAACTACAAGCGAGTAGGGTGTATTGTTGGGTGGTAAAAATCAGGTTGGCCTCAGACTTGAAATTGAAATTGATGCATCAATTTCAGTCCCAAAACACAAAGGTATATACATGCAGTCAGGAACCACAATCGAGCAACAGAGTGTACGTTTGATTATTAGGGAAGCAAATACTCATCCTTGAAAGAATGACAACAATCAAGGGCTTTACAGGAAAAAAGAGAGGGAAGATCCCCATAGACAGAACTGTGTCAGGTTCTGTTACTTAAACGCAATCAGAAGGACTGCCTCGCCCTCACCTCGTGATGGCCACTGAGGGCAGGAGAAGCTGCCGAATCACCAGGAAGAGATGAAAGACCGTTTGAAACCATGAAGGACCGGGGTATAATTTGCTCATACGCAGGACTGTCTGACAGCGCTTAGGTCTCCAAGTTTAATCGCTTTTAAACAATGGGAAAAAAAATACTGTTAAATGAACCTCCACTTATATTATCTTTGTGCCTTGTCAAAACTGTTCCTCAGAAAGCTTTCCTGCTAGTTTATTAACCTTTTCCTGACAAAGGATAAACAGAGATCTCGTGCATACTTCTTTCTATTCAAAAATCACATCATAATCATTCAAGGACACTGCTTTAAATTTTGCACTCAGAAACAAGCCTTTTTCGAAGTACGGGAGGAAGAACACGCGAGTGGAAGGCTGAGGCTTACTCAGCGCCACCTCCTCGTTGTCCCTTCTGCACAGACCCGGGGTGTGCAGAAGAAATCCAGTCTGCCGCAGGGCTCAGCATGATTCACAATTTGCAGGCTAGCATTTTGAAATGTCATTTTTATTGATCTCTGTTTGATGTTCCATTTGCCTTTCCTAGAGTAGACGAATTATGTTTATGGCATTTCCCTAATAGCAGACCTTGAAAATCTGAGTTTAAATGAGCTCTGAAAACACATAACCAAATGAAATATCAACTAAACAAAACTATATGGATGCACATAAATTAATACTTATTTTAGCATGAAAATAGATCTTCTCTAAGACTTCATAGGTCACAATAAGGTGCCAACATACTACATAACAGAATAACATTTCAAGGCATAACAGGCAGCTAACAACTATAAGGAAAGTCAAATCTCAGACACAAAAGGTAATCTGTCAACTGAGCACATGAAATATAAAGCATGGTTCAAAGAGTGAGATTAAAAAAACGAATTATCAAATCCCGTTCTGTAGCACCTAGACATCTGTGGAGCAGTCCCAGCTCTGTCATAAAAATCAAGTAACATGGGCCCATTTTTCTTGCTTGCTACCATAATTCCTTTCTAAAAATTTGGAAGAGAAATTACCAGTGAAAAGCTATTGTGACTCCACAGTGACAGATGAAGGCTTGCATTATAGAAGAGAAATCATGTTTAAATGCATTTTAATACTTTCAAATGGACTACTTATTTCATAATATAATTTATAAATGAGTTGTAGAAAGTTAACTTCGAAAACAGTTACAATCTCGAGTAACAGTACACCATTCTTAGGCTCCTTTACACACAAGGATGAACGGCTAGTCTCAATTCTCTTATCTAAGAGAATAGGTAACTTAATAACATGGAGTAAGTCCGTTAGTAAACTTTGGATTTTAAAAAGCCAAAAGCTTAAATTTTTAGAGGAATGACTGATTTCAAATGTTTCACTCCACAGAAAGCCCCTAAGCAAGCATGACAGCATCAATCACAAAGGGGGGCAGCGAAATCAGTGATACTACCTGTCAAAAAGCTTCAACTTCTCCCAATCCTCCAAGACCTGTTCAAGTCTCATGTCCTTAAACTGTACTGATCAGCGATGGCACAAGGTAGCAGCATCGTTGCTGACTTTCTAGAGCACTCGGTTTTTCTTATCACTATTTTCTATGTTTAGCATATTCTTCTTAGCACTGCATTATCTTTACATATCTCAAGTCCACTACTAGCATTTTAAGTTCTTTTTGAGTCCTCAAAGAATGAATACATGGATGGAAGGAAGGGAGGGAGGGAGGAAGGAAGGAAGGAAGGAAGCAAGCCTGGGTAACAAAATCCAAGGTTAATGAGTTACAGATGATTTAAAATGATGATTTAAAATATTAAGATATGCTCTCAAGAATCGACACTAGATTAGAGATAAGAGTATGACCTCCAAGAAATAAACTTTTGAAAATTCTTTAATATTTCACATTTTAGCCAGTTTTTTCTAATTAACATGAAATATGAATTTCCAAAATTATCAAAAAAACACACCCTGGCATTACAAAGACAGAACAGTGGTTTAGCTCCAGACTAAAATTTGGTTACACAAGGAAACAAGATCACCTAGATTTCTTATAGAGTTTAACTGAATCATTAATACCCTTAAGTCATAACATAAAAACAGGCTTATCAGATAAAATCCATAACGCAGAGTACAGGAGATTATGTACGCATTAAGGCAAGGACCTTGTCAAACAAACAAACAAACTTTGGTACAGGTAAAAAAAGTCAGGAGAAAATACTACAAAATGAACAAGGTGATGGGTTCAAAAGGAAAAACCACCAGTGACGTTTTTATGCTTTCTACTTTCTGCATCTTTGATATTCCATTTTATGTCATTACGATAATCTCATTATATCTCTATATAACTCACGTTTTAACTTCTTAAATCTCCTTAAATCATTACACATCATATGTTAATTACTATCTGCTTTTATGTTTAAAAATAACATTTTAGAATCAGAGGCGTAAGTCGGAGTCACTGCTAAGTCATTTTAGCAGTAAGAGCTTAATGAAGTCACTCAACTTCTCCGGGCCTCAATTTTCTCATCTAAGTAAACTACCTTAGCAAGATTAAGTAATTCTCATGTCAAACACAGCACACTAGCCAGCTCACAGTAGTGCTAAATTTACAATTCCCTTGTAAATATGTTTTGTTGTTGACTGAATTTCCATGTAGTAAGTAGTTATCACTGATTAAGTACTTGGGTTAGGAGTGATCGAGTTATCTTAAGAAACAGCCTACTCCATCAAAAGACTTCAAAATGTAAAAAGTTCAAGAAGGTATTTTTAATAGAGCCCAGCTCTCCTTTCCACTTAACATAGAAAAGACCTCAGAATCCTTCTGAACACGGCAGCCCAGGTAACCAAAGGAGTTGCCTTGAGAGGAAAAACCTCCAGCAACCCAAACCAGGGGCTTCTTAAGGAGCCTCTCCGAGCATACACAAATAAGGCCTATGACATAGGAAGAGGTGGCTTTTCACACGTCTCCAAAGAGTTAAATCTAGGATTCAACTCCCAGCCACCCAATAAAACATTTCAACAATGTAGCTTTTTAAAAAGTGATGTTCACAGCATTCAAAAAATGTTTTAGTTTTATTAGTATTTCAAAAAAGAAATAGTATGGTAAATCTTCCTAATAGTGGATATAACAATGGATTCCTAGCTATATTACCAAAAAGCAAAGAAAACAAAAGCAAAAATCTGATAAATTGGGACTTCATCAAATTTAAAAACTCTGGTGCATCAAAGAACATCATCAAGAAAGTGAAAAGGCAATCTACAGAACAGGAGAGAGCTTGTACAAATCTTGCATCTGTTAAGGGCATAAATCCCTTAACATATAAAGAACTTCCATGACTCAACAACAAAAATGACAATCCTATTAAAAATGAACAAAGGACTTGAATAGACATGTCTCCAAAGAAGATACACAAATGGCCAATAAGCACACAAAGATAATCAAGATCATTACTCATCAGGGACCCAAAATTCAACACCACAATGACATATCACTTCACAACTACTAAGATAATTAAAAAAAAAAAAAAAAAAAAAAAAACCAGAAAATAGTAAGTGTTGACAAGGATACGGAGAAAGTGGAACCCTGGTACATTGCTGGTGGGACATGTAAAATGGTGCAGCCAATGTGGAAAAGAGTTTGGTGGTTCCCCAAAAAACTACACACAGAATTATGATATGATCCAATAATTCCACTCCTAGATATGTACGCAAAAGAACTGAAGACAAAGACTCAAACAGATATTTGCCTGCCAATGTTCAGTGGAGCATTATTCACAACAACCAAAAGGGGAAAAACAACCCAAGTGTTCACTGATGGATGAACAGATCAAGATGTGGTGTATGTGTATATACTGGAATATTATTCAGCCATAAAAAGAAGGAGGTTCTGACTCATACTACAACATGGAAGAACCCTGAAAACGTGTTAATAAGGCAGGCATAAAAGGGCAAATATTTGATTCCACTTACATGAGGTAGCTAGAATAGTCAAATCCACAGAGTACAGTAGAGGTTACCAGGGTTTGGGAAGAATTGGAATGAGGAGTCAATGCTTAATAATAACAGAGTTTCTGTTTGGAGTGATGAAAAGGTTTTGGAAATAGGTAATGGTGAAAATTGCACAACATTGTGGATATAATTAACACCACTGAACTATATACTTAAAATTATTAAAATGACAAATTTTACGTAATATATATTTTACCACAATAATTTTTTTTTAAATGAAAGTAAATGCAAAGGTACAGGGAAAAAGAAAACAAAAACAATAAATAAAAATGATAACACATCAGCACCTTTCCACACACTGCATTCGGGAGAGAGGAGGCTGGCATTTTTGGTTATGAGCTTCTCGGGCAGCAAGTCTAGCTCCTGACAACTGAAAAGGAATAAAAACATCATTTAATAAACTGTCAAACTTGCTACCATCCTAGAAAAACTGGTTTTGCATGCTAACATTAAAAAGCCAATTAAAGCAGCTCAATGTTGTAAACAAGCATCTGTTTCAGGGAAAAATAAAAACAGAACACATTAAACTGGGAAAGTTCTAGAGTACTATGAAGCAATACCTAACATATTAAAGCAAGACTGCGAGATTATCTCACACATGGTGATTTTAACAGGTGTGCAGAAGTGGTAAACAAGACTGTTTTCCAATAAATCTAAGACAGCTGAAATTTTTCTAAGCAAAACTTTCCGAAACTCTAATTAGAGCTGAGTCCAAGAGAATACCAAGCTCCTAGCCAAATCTCTAAGTGCCTTCAGTGGTTACACAGTAGCTGTGTAAAGGATGTTCAATGCAAATGTTTAAAAAAAAAAAAAAAGTTTTTCTAAAACACTGCCTAGAATGATCACAACCTAAACTCTTTATGGAGAAATCTGTATTTGCAAATAAATAAATAAATGATCACCCAACCAGTACTGATACCTCATTGTCTTAAAAACGAATGGTATTTGAGACAGTTTACAACATCAGTACTCAGAGTAGATTAAGTTTAGAGTAAGCATAAACTCCAATCTCTCAAACCAAAAACGAAAGTATCTTCAATTATCTAAAGAGATTTACCTCATTTAATGCTCAAGTTGCATGTTTTTATTGGTTTAGACATTCTCAAATTGTCACATACTTCAAAAATTTTTTTAAAATACGCCTAAGGAGTTGATATACCTTTTCATCTTCCCACTGAAAAAAATTACAGTCTTTTCTATCTCTACAGGCTGAGCAGGCATAGAATCTCCGTGTTTCTTCTTTCCCTTGGTTCACCTTTACAAACAGAAGAGTGGGTCCTAGTTCCAGAATGGGGGGGAAAAAAAAAACATGTAAAACTAGAGTCATCTACATCAAGTACCTAGTTTTCACCACCCTTAAATAAAACTTGATTTGGTTTTATGCACAATTTGTCATAATTAAGCCCACCACTCCATTTAATTACTTTTTTTAACCTATTATATTTAGGCACTGATCACTTGAGACGTAACTCTTGAAAACTAGTCTCTGCAGAAATAAAATGCCATTGTCAGTTGCTGTCTACGTAGTGAATGATCCGGTATTGAGAATAAAATCTGGAAGGGATCCAGAGAACGGAGCACTTTGCCACCTCCATCCAATTATCATTTCGGTGAAAATCTGGGCTTTTGGAGTTGAACACATACTCTCTACACAAATAACAAACTCTGGGTCTGGTTTCTGAGCAATTCATACTATCCTTCTTCCTAACTTTTTAACATAAAAGGATAGCAAAACAACCAATGAAATCCCCCAAATACCTGACAACGGATTCACTCAGTAACATGCATCGCCTTTGCCTAGCTCGCCTCTTCCCTTGAGGGGAAAAATAAAATATAACAGCCGCGGAGCCAAAACCACCACAGTGAGGACTTTCTATAACACTTTCTTAAGTAAAGTGAAAACACTACGTCCCCGGAAAAGGGCATTTTTCGGCATCACCTGTGGTGAAAAGAGAGGAAGGTAAAAATCTGGGAAAACAGTGTGGGGGCCCTGAGAAGCCCAAGGCATCTTCAGGCTAACCTCCGCCCTTCGCGCCGGACCGCTCGGCTGAACCCAGACGCACACCCACCGTGAGGGCACAGCGGGGCGGGTGTGGCGGGATCGGAAGGAAATACCACCTCCACTCCCGAGCTTCCCTGACGACCCGCGATCCCCTCTGCCTCTACGCTTCCCAGCCAATCCCTGGGTGCCGCCATCTTCCCGCCACCGTCCCGAAAGTCTCAGTCCTACCAAGGAGGCTGAGAAAGAGTGCCGCCGTGCTCCGCGAGGACTCACAGCGCCCCCATGCTCCTTGGAGGAACTGAGCCCCGAAAAAGCAGTCCCTTCTGCCCAGGCTTCCCCTAAGGGATCCCTCCCTGGTGGACCGGCAGGGGTAGGGGTTTGGGGAGTAGGGGGCGGGGGTTGGGGAGTTGCCGGCAATTTACTGGACCTGTGCAATAAGTTCACCTATCTTCTGCTTTACCCTCAGCACCTCTAGTACCCTCCTCCCATAAGAATACAGCCTGAAGATGAGATTACTGGAGCAAAGATTTGGTGGGGTTTTCAGACCGAAAGGCAGCATCACCACCACCAGCACCTGACAACAGAAATGACTGCAACAACCCCGTTTGAGGAAAAAATCCTCTTCTTTTTTTTCCCCCAAAGTCAGAGTCACACTGTCCTCTTCTACCTCTTGGGCAACGCTTCCCATTGCACGTTGTAGTTGCGTATCCATCGACATTTATACATCAGAAAGAAAGAAACAAGACTGTCCCTCTTTGCATATGACGCGATGGTCTACATAGAAAATGCCAAGGAGTCTGCAAAAATAATTCCAGCTGAAATTGAGTTCAGCAAGGTTGCAAGATACCAGATAAACAAACACACAAAAACCAATCATACCTCTGTGTACTAAGAATGATCCCATGAACACCCAAACTAGAAATAAAACACAACTGCTCAGATAAATGAAATGCTTAGGTGTAAATCTAACAAAATATGTACAGGACTTGTATGCAGAACACAACAAAATGCTAATGAAAAAATCAATGCTCTGAATAAACACAGAGACTGTTACTACCACTCAACATAGTGAAGATATCAGTTCTCCCCAGGTTTAGTGCATATACAAGTTTAATACAATTTCAGGGGTGCCTGGGTGGCTTAGTTGGTTAAGCGTCTGCCTTTGGCTCAGATCCTGATTCTAGGGTCCTGGGCTCCATCCCTGCATTGGTCTCCCTGCTCTGCAGAGAGCCTACTTCTTCCTCTCCCTCTGCCCCTCCCCACCATCCAGCTAATTCTCTCTTTCTCTCTCTCTCTCTCTCTCTCAAGTGATTAAGTAAAATCTTCAGAAACAAAAAGTTTAACACAATTTCTATCAGAATCCCAGCCAGATTTTTGTAGATAAAAATGATATTCTGAAATTCATAGGAAAAGCAAGGGAACTAGAATAGCTACAGGAACTTTGAAAAATATTAAAGTAGGAGGAATCAGTCTAACCAACTTCAAGACATGATAGTATACACACACCTACACGCACAGAGTTGTAGATGGACTAGTCAAATGTCTCTTACAGTACTGAAGAATTGATTTACACACCCATGGTAACATCACACACTTACGCTCTGTGGTGTCTTAATGTAGAAACACTGCATTTTTCCATGCACATTTCATCCAGTAGTTTCACTTAAATCCTTCACCTTCACCTGTAGTATCTAGTCTTTGACGTAATAAGGTCCCTATTCAAACTGCCCAGCACAAGTTGCCGGAGCACCTTATGTGCACGAGCTCGTCATCTGGATAGAAAACTCTAGATCTAGCTATGTTGATACTTTGGGAAATTTTATCTCAAGGCTTAACTACACATTCTCATTAACATTAACACTTCTATTTAAAAAAATTTCTTGGGGCACTTGGGTGGCTCAGTCTTAAGCATCTGCCTTCAGTTCAGATCATGCTCTGCATAGGGCTCCCTGCTCAGTGGGGAGTCCGCTTCTCTCTCTGCCTCTGTGATCTTTCTCACTCTTGCTCTCTCTCAAATAAATAAATAAAATCTTTAAAAAATTTTCTTATAGGTACAGATTTGTGATCATTAAAAGAGTTCTTTACAAAATTTGCAGTTGAGTTCATGAGATTATACCACCAAAAATTGTCACTGCATCTATATTTTCTGATTCTGTCTTAAACAACTCTGATGCTGTGGGGTGACCTATAGAGGCAGACCAAACCAGCATGGATTTGCAGCCTTGACAGGTAACCTTCCCCAAACAGTAAAAGCATAGCAAGTGTTGACCCAAAGAAGGAAAATGAGAGAGTACCCCTTAGTGAAAGAGAATTTGACAGGTTCAAAAATAAGGCAGTTCCCTCTTTTCTGGGGCACAATTTTGGGAAGGAAAAAAGAAAAAACCTCACCTTAGATTCAGACATTTATGGTAAAATTCATGTTCTCTGAATATTTGCTGAGAGGGGCATAGATAGGGGCTCACAACAGTAAGTTGGGAATGTTTCTTTTTATTGTCTATGTGTTCAGGAAAATCCTTGAGCAGAAGGAAGCTGAGGGATGTCAGCAGGATGCTCAGAGGAAACGAGGGGCAGAGCTGGAAACGGGTCCTCTGAGGCCAGAGCATGGAGACAGACTTGGGTGCACGCCTTCATACAGAGCCGACTCTCCCACATCACTAAGATGGGCTCAGACTCAACAATTCCCCCACCAGAGGATGAGGATGAGGTCCCCCACAGGGATCAGGAAGGCACGCTCCTTACTTTGTTAGTGGGGCAGAAGGACTTCCACCCTCAAATCTACTACAGAGAAAATGGTTCATGCATGAGGAACATTTTCTAAGTAATGCCTGAGTGCCTTCTCTGTGTTCTCTGTAATCAACCCCTCAGTTTCCCTTTGAAAATCCAACTCTTCCCAATTTTAGCCCATGTAGGGGGAGAAATGCAAAGGACCAGAGGGGCTGGCTTGGATTTGGGCAGATGACTGGGGGCCGCTGCTGGAAAGGTTGGGAAAGAAACTACAAGGGTTACATTTGTCATCTTAGTGGCATCTGTCATGTTGACTGTTCATGTGTCACACACGTTCAGCCTTCCCACCTTGCCTGGGACAGGCGACTGGCTTGTCTAGGGTTGCCTTGGCGGAGGTAATTCATCTCGGCCCCATGTGTCTCTCATCCCCCTCCTGGAACCAGAGGGCCAGCCTGGACATGTTTTCTTATGGGAGTGGCCAGAGCACTAGAGTTAAGAGAAAGGGACAAGCATCTGGAGACCTAGGCTTGGAGCTGCCCCTGTCACTTCCGCCATATGCTTTTGGGTCAGGCGAGTCATGTGCCCAAGCCTGGTGAACCTTGCAAAGGGCATGGGTCAGAAGGGGGTGATGAAGTGGAGCGGGCAGCACAATCCGTCCCTGAAGCACTTTCACAGCAGCAACCACGGGCCTGTTGTATTTGCGGTAGTTATGGTTGCTGCTGTTTCCCACCACTCAAGGAGCCCCTGCCTTGGCAGAAAAGCCAGAGCAGAACTAGGAAATGGGAATGTGTGAGGATACCATATGTGCACCTAGATCCAGCCATGCCTGAAGTTTTCAGTTATAAGGGTCTTAAGTTCCTTTGTCTCCTTAAGCCAGTTTGAGATGCGGTTGGTTCCATCAACCACACCCAAGAATGCCAACTCCATGGGTCTATGGCTGTGGCCATAACATGGGATGGATGTATCTGTGTATTAATACACCTTGAAACCCTTTACCAGTCAAGACCAACGAACCCTTCTCTCCTTTCTCCCTGCCACTCCCCCTGTCAGTCTGCCTGCCCTCCTCCCTATCTCTCTCTTCTGGCCTTTGTCATGGAATCCTGTCCCCCAACCTGCTCTTCTTCTTGCTGCCCCAAAGCAAGAACATACGCCTACTTTATTATTATTATTATTATCATTATTATTATTATTAAGTGAGCTCTACACCAGTTCACGAACCTGATATCAAGAGTCTCATGCTCCACTGACAGAGCCAGCCAGGCACCCCATGGACCTACTTCTTTTTAAAGGGAAAGCTCCCAGGGAGACCACCAAAAATGAAGGAAATCTACAGACTTCACCTTGGCTGTCTCTGCTCTCTGGTTATGGATCCTAACTTCCCTGCTCACAGGGTCAGTGCTATGGATTGAATTGTGTCCCTCTCCCCCCACCGCCAAACCCCACCAAACTGATATGTTGGAACTTTAAACCACCAATGTTATCATATAGGACCTTTGGAATATAATTAGGTTTTAGAAGAAGTCATGAGAGTGAGCCCGCAGATAGGACTGGTCCCCTTATAAGAAAAGGATGAGACATCAGAATTTCCTCGCCCTCTCTATCTTTACCTCTCTCCCTCCCTCCTACTCTCTCCCTCTCCCTCTCCTTCTCTCTCTTTCTTTCTCTGCCCTGTGAGAACACAGCAAGGAACAGACCACCCACTGGCCAGGAAGCAGGCTCTCACCAGGGACTGAATCTGTTGGCACCTTGTCTTGGGCTTCTCAGCCTCTAGAACTGTGAGAAATAACTTTCTGCTGCTTATGCCACAGAGCTGGGGTATTGCTGTGGCCGCCCTTGACCAAGACAGTCATGCATACCCTTGACTTTCCCTCTCTGCTTTGATTTCTGAAGGGAAAGCTCACCAACCCTCTCCCCACCCCTGAGAAGCCTGAATTCTGACAACCTGGCTGGGGAAGGACTTGGATCCGAAGGTACTTGGTGCGGTTTTCCTCGGATCTTTGAAAAACAGCAACACTCTGAACCGAACATGCTGAAAGTAAGGACATTTGGGTAAGCTACTGAGACTTGCTGGTCATTTCCAAGGTGCCTGACTTGGCAGCATCCTGGGGCCAGACAGAGAGGAGCCCCCCGGGGGAAGGGACCTCAGAGAACAACAGAGACAAGGAGCCCCTGGGAAGCACTCCAGGGGCTCTGAAGGGGCTTTGCCAACTCATCTCTTCCTGCCTCTGCTTGCCCCTCTAGCATGAGAGCTGAGAACAAGGGACACAAGAGAATATGTGTTTATATGCATGACAGGGACTGTTGCTGGGAACACAGAGAAATGAAACTTAAGGGGTGCCTGGGTGGCTCAGTTGGTTAAGCATCTGTCTTAAGCTCAGGTCATGATCTCAGGGTCCTGCCTGGGATGGAGCCTTATGTGCAGCTCCTTGGTCAGCTGGAAGTCTGCGTCTCTCTTCCCTCTGCTGCTCCCCCTGCTTGTG